ATCCGCAGGAACAGAGGCTGAAGCAGAAGAATCCAGGTCAAGAGCAGAAGGCGAAGAACGCGAACGCAGGCTATTCTCAGAACCCTCAGATAAGGAAACCGCGGGTTTGACGGCGCGAGAGTGAATCTCGGAGTGAGAGGCTGAGCTAGAAGATACCAATGTATCGAACTCAACCTTCTTATCAGCATAAGCCTTAGCTGCTTCTTCAAGAGTTGCAAAAGTACCAAGCCAAGTCCTAGCCTTGGTAATAGGGTGCCTAATCTCAGCAGCCCATTTCCCCCATTTCCTCTGCCTAACCCCAACAGGCTTATTCGTCAAGCGATGAACTTTCTTGCTACGCTTTCTAATGGCGGGAGTTTTGACGCCATTACTGTTCTGAGAGGAAGTCTCAGAGACTTCGAGAAGAGGAGCAAGAGACGACTGAAGGGGAAGGAGGTTAATCTCTCGGACAATACGCTTCGTTTTCGAAGGTTTTCGGCAGTCAGATTCCTCGTCGCTTGAAGAATCATCGGTTGCGTAAGGATCACTGACAAAAATACGGATTTTTCTCACTGTTTCAGATTCTTGAGACGAAATCTGTGACTCAGGTAAGCTATTATTACTCTTGGGTTTCTTGGATGGCTTCATATCGGTTTGACCAGACGGCTGTTTCCTACGTTCAGCCATTTGATTCCTCCCCCCCCCTCAAAAAAAACCCAGAAAAAACAGGAAATCACTCAAAATCTCTGACCAAAACTGACGAATCAAAAGAAATCTCGGCTATGTATCAGCGAAATATGAAAAAGGGTAGCTTTTGTTTTATGTGAAAACCCCCAAAAACTTCAACGCCAGAGCACGTCCTGCGATGAATCAACACATATAAGCACAGAAAAAAAACAGAGACTTGTTCAGGAACAGGCATAGAAAATAACGACAAGGAGGGGAAAACACGAAAAGGGCGAGTGAAAAATGATACCTTTTTGGCCTTAAACGCATGGAAACGGACGGTAACTCCAGAATAAGCCTCTGCTTGGAGCAGAAGTGAGGAGCGTTGAGAAGAGCTTTCAGACCAGAGAACGAGGAAGACGACGAAACAAATGGAAATGAGGTGTGAAAGAGAGCCAAAATCGCTGCCGATTCAAACCCAGCCGACATAAAATCCGCTTCAGAGACGCCTTTGTTCTCTTCCGGTTTCTCCCCGAGACCAAAAAGACGCTCACTCACTGTTCCTGTTCGTCACCAGACACAACACCCAGTGACGAAAAAAAACAACCAGATTTAAAAAAAAAAAAGCCGAAACGATGAAATTAACTAGGAACAAACGTAAAACCCAAAACCCTAAAACACAGAGAGAGGATCAGAAATCTGAGGCTAAGGGTATATAAAAAAAACGAATGACCGATGATGATCCTTTAAATAACTGTAAAAGACTCGAGATTTTACTTAAACCGCAAATCTCAAGAGAGAGAAGAACATAAACATCATACGACAATAAAGAAATCCAAGGGCATTATTTTAATGGAAACCATCGAGAAGATGCACAGAAAAAAAAATAATTTTTTTTTCACCTACCTTGCGGTGGGTTTGCTTCCCTCGTCTCTGTCTTCCTCTCAGATTTAGCTTTCACGCCCTTTATATTCTATTCTCCGTACCCCCGATTTCTCTCTCTTCTTCAAAGTCCTTTTCACCGTTTTCCATTGAAAGAAAAAAAAAGGAAAGGGGGCAGATTTGGAAAATAAATTAAATACATACCATTTCGAAAATATTATACAGAATAATATTGGCCAATTGAAAAAAAGTATAACCCATATTTTACATTTTTTTTTCTTCATAATTTAGGATTTATCAACCCATTCCTAGTTCCTACCTTATTAACAGCATTTATTGACATTTTTAGCGGTTTCGTTATGTTCTATAAAATCTTTCACAAGTTGCGATTCCTAACATAACTAGCAAACCTTAAATGTCAGTATAAGAAACAAAAGAGAAAAGATATATGAATAGTTGGAAATATTACATAAAAAGTTATGAACTTTCTATAAATCTTCAAACAAAACACACACAAAAAACGTATGGAGTTGGCGTTTCGGTATTCGGTTCGATTCTTTTGATTTTATAAAAATATATATTAATCGATTATTATATTATATTCGGTTCGATTTGATTTCGATTTTTACTAAAAAATAGATATTCTTACAAAATTGATTTTTCGGGTTTTTTTAAAAATTCGATTCGTTTTTAAAAATTCAATTTTTAAAAAATAATAACGTTAAAAAATGTTCGACGATTTAGATAAAAAAATATATATCATATTTCTCGATTCTATATAATTTGGTTCGGAGTAACAGTAGCCTTTGACTTTTTTTTCATGAAATTTTATATTCCAGTAATTTAAGACATAGCAGATCTATCTTTAGCAAATTGCAAATAAAAATTTTGATTGACGTATTTATAATATAATAAATAAGTAATATAAAATTAGATGGCATGGTGGAAGGAGGGACATGCACGTTCATGGCGCATGACCATACCAGTACGCCCATGTCATGTATCTCTCATGGCCCACCAAGAATCATGGGCCCATTGTTTAGCCCACTCCCTCTGAGCGCGTAGGTTACACCAACAAGGATTCCCCGCATATGTGATTCACGCGTTGAGGTCGCGCGTGGGCGCTTTTTCTGGGGAAGCAGCGGAAGAATTCTCATAAGCCTAGGCCTGGGGTTTCTGATATTTACGACAATGCCACTGGCGTGTATTGTGCGAGATTTCAGATTTGCTCTGGAGATAAATCTCTGTGTCCTTAACTTATTGTTAACATTGTATTTTTTTTTTTAATTTTTTCATTCATATATAAAAATTCATTTATAATTACTTATTGACTACACTATTGAATATGTATAAGATATTTTTATATATAAAATACGAACGCTCATGCTCCATAGTGACTAGTGAGCGAGAGCTTGTGGTATGATAAAATATTAATAGTCACGCGTATAAGGTGGGAAGAAGTGGTACGGTCGTGGAATAACATAAATACCATATAATAAAAAGCATGAAGCTATTAAATTATGAAATTAATAGTATTGTTTTCTAGAGATGGGACGAGAGTGCTGATTAAATATTTTAGAATGTTCGAAATAATATGCTTGCACGTGTGAGTGTGACACGTGTAAGACGTTGCAGATCTATCTTTAGCTTCAATCTCACTGAAGGCAAGCGTATCACGTATACATATAATCGCGATTATGAGACATTTTAATTTAGTGTTCATCTTTTTATTATTATTTTTTTGTTAAAAGTGTTCATCTTTTTATTATTATTTTTTTTGTTATAAGTGTTCATCTTTTTGGATGCGAACACACGAGAAAATGGACTTTCTTCGTTGAGTTGTGGTCACCTTAATGTTGTACAAAATATCTAAAATATTATTATAAAATAGTATGCATTTCAACAAATTTCAAACCTAATATATGCTAAGATTAATATTCAATAGCCAGAAATGAAATAACCATAACACACACACACACATATATATATATATATGCATATTCAGGGGTAACGCTTGAAAATATTGGGTTTCTATAAGCCATTTCACAAAAATATGGCCCATAGTTAAAAGTGTAATTTGCTGAATATTTGGGCTTCTAAGCCCAATATGTGATTTTGGTTTACTCGTCGGAACCAAACATTTCCCTTGTTAAGCCCAAGCTTTGGTCTTGAACATTTGGATTATTTCGGCCTTCAAAATATTCATATTTTAAATAAATTGTATGTTTTAAAAGAGATTCTTGTTTTTATTTTACACTTTCTTATTTTTATATTGGATTTTTTCAACTAATTTGATTTAAAATATAATATTTAGATTTGATCACATCTATCGATTCTCAAAACAAATCAGGATGTCATTAAATAAAAATTGAAATACTTTCCACGGATTTTGCTTTTTCTGTAGAACTGATTAATTAACTAATTAATTAATACTATTTCAGGATTTTCAGTCTTATTTTCGGATAAATACAACCCTTTTATTCAATTCAATAAAGTAAATTTGTTCGTTTCTTTTTTTGGTTGGATAGATTAGTTCATTTCTTTATATGCAAGACCGGTGGACATTCGTTGTTTTTTTTTGGATTCTTAATTTATTTATTATTTTTATTATTTTCCATACAAGTAAGAAGGCGTATCTCGTCGGACCATGACGAGGAAACTAGATATTTATGCAGCGAACCGAACACAGCCAAATATATTCCTCAATCATGATGACGTCATATGAGTTCACTTCGGAGTGACATTCTGCCACGTGTTGCAATTCCATTTGAGAACGTTCTCGGTAGGCGTCTCTTAAAACTCCGCCACCAAATCACATCTCCCAGAGAGAGAGAGGGAGATGTCACCGAACGGTGAGACTGAATCGGAGAGGAAGAGGAAGAGAGAGGAAGAGGGACGAAGCCAAAACGACGTCGCTTCTGGATCCGTCAATAGTCACGGCGGTGGCGGTGATGGAGGAGGGAGTACGGCGACGGTGGAGGATCGGGAGGTTGACGAGTTCTTCGCGATTCTCAGGCGAATGCACACTGCCGTCAATAACTTGAAGAAAGCCGAGGGAGTTAACGGAGTTAGCCCTGTATTGACGGAGAGAGGTGCCGTTAGATCTGGTCGTGACGCTAACGGCGTTAGCGTTGATCCGATGGTCAGGGGGAGAGACGTTGTGGCCGAGAATGGGGGTCTGGGTTTTGATTTGAACGCAGATCCGGTTCCTGAATCGGACCCGGTTTAGCCTTATATTCTCTTCGTCTATTTTATTTTTTCCCCATAGTTGGACAATTTGGAATAAATAACGGTTTCATATATTTTTATTTCATACAAAATAAATTTGCATTTGATAAGTATTGTATGCCTATCGATTTATTTGAAAATTTCTATATTTTTATTTGATTTCATTTATTTTTTATTTTTATTAAATTATAACAGTATAGTCTTCCAATTATTTTCCAATTTTTTCATTATCTTGTTTTTAAAATATTACAAACTGAATGCTAAATATCTAAACGTATAAACACATTGATTTCAAGAGGAGATGTATATTAGTTTTAAAAATCTATTATCACTTATTATGGATGTACAAATATTAAGAGAAAATCTACTTAGAACCTTGTCGTGAAAATCATTATATTAAAAAAAATATATTCTAACTTCAAACAATTTATTCACTGTCTAAATGGATTTGATTTTGTTAAATGAATAAATTATTATCTTGAAAATTAATTATGTATATAATGATTTTTCTTATCTTGAATTTAATAATTGATGAGGAAAGAAAAGGAGACCGAGTGAGATTCATTGAATTGTGTTGGAACTTGGCTTTTGATGAAATAGAAGAATATAGAAAATGTTTTAAAAAAAACGTTTGTTTTGGTATGGATTAGAATTGTATGTTTATAAATAAATAAAAAAATTCCATCATCTTTTTTTGGTCGAATGTGTTTGGTATTACGTATATATCCGTGTTTAAAATCCGACATGGCATTAATTAAATAATTTTGAAAATAACAAGTCAAAAGAAAATAAAACAGAAAAAGAGGGAAAATGAATAAATAAATGAAATTTGTCCAACAGAGCACGAGGCCTCTTCAAGGGATGCCATAATGGGCCTGTTCAGCCCAAATAGTAAGCCCATTTATCTCAACAGACAAATCCAATGTGATAATATTTTCTCCAGACACGTTAAAACGGCCCATTTATATGGGTTAAATTAGTCATTATGGTTTATCCATCTAACACATACCATTAATCTGTATAATTAATTAATTCTAAATATCAACAGGAATCCATTTGTTGATAGTTTAGATTGGACTAACTTGACTCAACCCATTTTCCCATCTCTATTTATTTTGAAATCTGAAATTTTTTATCCATACAAAATTCCTGGTTAATATATATATATATATATATATATATATATATATATATATATATATATATATATATATGTCAAAAACATTTGGTGGGCAAAGAAAGAAGGGTACTGTCGGATTCAGGATTGCTCAATTTCTATGAAAAATGGACCGTAAAAGCTAAAATCCAATTTTACTTTGGAATCTGAGGTTAGTGGCATGGACCACTCTTTACTCTTTAGGCCAACGACCCCTTCTATTTATACAATTATGTAACGTGGGTATCAATCGTATCCATTACCAAACCACGAGGATCATTGTTTTTGGGCTTTCCAATATATATATATATACACATATTTACAATATTGCCTATACACAAACATTTTTTTTTTTGATATTTTAAATCAATGAATGGTTGGTATTTTATGTTTTTGTAGATTTTATCGTTGGACCGAAAAGTATTTCGGGTCATAAGACTCATAACCCAAAAGCAAGTAATTGTGTTCTTTTTCATCGTGCGTGGATAAGATTCTTGTTCATGGCATTTTTACTTGAAAACAATAATATTTTTTCTTGTAAAAGCGAAAAGCATTATTGTTAATGTTAATTATATAGTGTTGTATCACTGTCCAAATAGCGACAGAAATCGTGCGGCCACTGCCTTCTGTTCCTCATGCTGTCGTTATTCCTCCCGTCAAGACCACCTAATTATACAGTTCGAGCTTTGGTGACTATGATTTCTTATCCTAATTTGATTGATATGATATTACATCATTATATATTAATGGAGTTTATTTACGTTCATCATTTAGTTATTATCTTAATAAATATGTTATAGGTTTAATGATAATCAACATTTTTAGTGTAATGATCAAATTGTTATGAATTATTTTCGGTCTGTTATGGCTAAGAATGATGATGACCATGATGGGAAAGAACTATTTAGTAAAAGCATGGTGATATAATAGAATGATATTTGAGTTTATTCAAGATAAAATATTATGAAATATTAAAACATGTTATCTAATTAATATAAATAGTTAAAATGTATATTTGAATGTTATATAATATTATGGTTTTTTTTGGTATAATACTAATATATAATGCCGAGGAAAAATGAAAGAAGGATATGTATTAGATTGTATATATATATAGGGATACAGATATGTTGTTTCAAATTCACATTTCATAAAAAAAAAAGATATGTTGTTTCAAAAATTGCCTAGTGGACTTCCATTTGTGCACTAAAATAAAATTTGGACTTGTTTTTAGTTATTTTATTTTTAAAATTTGCTATATTTATTTAAAATTTTCCAATTTAATCATTTAAATGTGTGTTTTTTTTTGTATTACCTTCAGAATATAAACTGTGACACTCATCGCAAGTGGATGTGCCGTACGAAACATAATACACTTTCGTTACCACTGTAGAGTGGGTTTGGGTCCATTAGTCCCATAAGCATGTATGCAGTCCTCTCACTCATTATCTATATGGTAGTATGGTACAAACATGCATTTGTATTTTTATATATACATATCATAAAGTTTAGGATTATAATATCCGTAGAGATAAAATAAATTGTAAAGTTTAGGGTTATAATATTTATAGGGAAAATGTAATAGTAGAAAATTCCAATTGTTTAACATAAAACACAAAACAAAATCCAATCTTTAATTTTTAAAGGAAGGTATATATATATATATATATATATATATATATATATCCAAGTTGGCCATTTTATTATGAGAATATGTTAATTATATAAAATTCATAAAAAAGTGTAAGCTGTTTATTCAACGGAACTATCCGTGTCACCACTTGTGAAATTCCACAACATAAAGAGAAACAAATTCCCTAGACCGATCCCCACGATACCAATTGAAAACTTCTTGAAGATTAAACCGGTCAACTAAACCGGATATATTGTTGAAATAGGAAAATGAATATGTGATTGAAGGAAATATTGATTTTAAGATATGATTAGAAATAATAATGGATATAATATTATATCAAATATTGTGTATCGATCTTATTTATTTCTATTTCCTTTTTATTTCGTCTTATAGTTTTCCTATAAATATTTGAGTCATTTTCATTGTAATTCAACAAGAAGAAGAAGAGATGTAGCAATACAAGTAATTCCGTTCTTTTCTATTTGTCTTATTTTATTTCCGCATTTTATTTTTCTACATGGTATCAGAGTCCAACCCCATTGCCGATCGCAGTTTCGTGAAACAGACGTGACTTTAAGTCTATACACTAAAAAAAACTCTTTTTTTTCACGAGAAATGCTTCCCGGTACACGAAACTGCTCAATCAAACCCTAAAAAGAAAAAAGAGAGGGAGGGAGAGAGAACTCATTGCGAGGAAAAACCGTCGAAATGACGCTAATGCCCAGGTCAGACATGGTCAGACATCCATGATTAGCAAAGGGCATAATGGTAATTAATAAAAGCTCTGAAAGTACTCAGAGAAAGAGAGAGATCGTCGAAGCATCAGCAGATCTTACGCTTCACGCTTTTCACTTCGCCGGAGACGGTTGCGATCTGACGTTCGTCATCAACACCCAGTCTCCGAAACGAAATCGCAACCGTCCGATTCTTCACAACCATTTTTTTAGAAAAAAAACTCGAATGCTCAGATCTAGACACTGCAGAATTGCCCAATAATCTCGGAGAGTATTTTACCTTCCGGTACGTGGTACCGTCTTCTTCGACGGTCCAACCAGCTTCTTTGCAGAGTGCTTTGAGGACTTCGTTGTTATCGCAGTGTTTGGGAAGCTTGTCAAGTAATTCCGTTCTTTTCTATTTGTCTTATTTTATTTCCGCATTTTATTTTTCTACATATATGTCTCATATAGATCTCTCAAACGCTGAGAGCGATAAGCACTACAGCAATAATAATTGAGTCCCTATATAAAAAAACATATCGTTGGGTTACCATTTCCATACACAGCAAGGAAAAACACCAAAGTAAAACATGGAGAAGAAGAGAGATGACGACGACAAGGTCGAAGAGCAAAACCAACATGGCATGCGACGGCCAAAGGGCGGTTTGCTCACAATGCCCTTCATCTTCGGTATATATATAAACCCTTTTTTTTAATTAAACATTTCTATTGGAAATTATAGAGAGAATTCACATCCATATAATATACGACGACGAAACTAAACCAACATAGAAAACACACTAATAGTTGTTAATTATAATTTCTAACCTCATTTCATATCAATCTCTCTTTTATGATTATATATGTTTTTCGTGGTGAGTTCGTATTTTTTAAACCATAACCAAACCAAACCAAACCCAGCAGAAACATATTGATACGGAAAATTCTTCGTAATTCTTGATAATTTCTGATACCCATCTCTCTAAATTATGTGATTATGTTTTTGATTTCTTGAATTTTGTGATTTTTTCGTGGCGGTATATGTGTGTGTGTGTATATATAGGGAACGAGATATGTGAGAAGCTGGCGGTGGTGGGATTCCATGCGAACATGATAAGCTACTTAACGACGCAGCTTCATCTTCCGTTAACCAAAGCAGCAAACACACTGACCAACTTCAGTGGAACCTCCAGCCTCACCCCTTTGCTCGGTGCCTTCTTGGCCGACTCCTTCGCTGGCCGCTTCTGGACCATCACCCTCGCCTCCATCATCTACCAAATCGTAATTAATACCCATTTTTCTCTATATATTTATTTATAAAAGCCATAATAAAACCCTAATCATCATTTTACATTAATTGAACCCTAATTCATAAAATGATTATATATATTATGTAGGGGATGACTTTGCTCACAATCTCGGCGATATTGCCGAGTCTAAGACCGCCGCAGTGCCACGGAGAGCAAGTTTGTCAAGAAGCAAACGCAGGTCAGTTGAGCGTTCTCTACGTGGCTCTGCTTCTAGCGGCTCTCGGCTGCGGCGGGATTCGACCATGCGTCGTGGCTTTCGGTGCCGACCAGTTCGACGAGTCCGATCCAAAACAAACCACCAAAACTTGGAACTACTTCAACTGGTATGTGTGTGTATATATATATATATATGTTTGTAATTCATATGCACATGCGTAAAACACACACATGATGTTATAGTTGTCTTTAGCTACCATAATTAGCATAGCGTGGTCCGTCGACTGTTGCGTTGGACCGTTGGGTTTACCGTCCGCAATATTGTGTCATTCGTCCGGTCTTTTGGGCTATGAGGTGTTGCGGAGTCCGACCCAAAGGGTCGAGTACGGGTTCCCATCGTTATAAAAAAAATAATTAGCATAGTTTTTTTAAACATAATTAGCATAGATCTTCTATTAGATGATTCTAATGACCCACAAGATGGTTTAGCTGAAAATGAATATGGTTATAATTATCATATAATTCAATCATTGTAATCATATGTTTCATTAACCAAAAAAATGTTTCATTAGGTACTACTTTTGCATGGGTGCATCTGTGCTCGTTGCGGTGACGGTTCTTGTCTACATCCAAGACAACGTCGGGTGGGGATTAGGGCTAGGGATCCCGACAGTGGCAATGTTTTTTTCGGTTATCGCTTTCGTGGGCGGATACACCCTTTACCGTCACATGGATCCGGCGGGTAGCCCGTTTACCCGTCTGGTCCAGGTAACGGTGGCAGCGTTTCGGAAGAGGAAGCTTTCGATGGTCTCGGATTCTAGTTTGCTCTATCATAACGATGAGATTGATGCTCCCATCTCTCTTGGTGGTAAACTTGTTCACACCAAACATATGAGGTAACAAATTTCTTCCTCCTCTTACTCATAGTTGGTGCATTCATAATAATAATGAATATATTTTGATTATATAAAAAAATAATGAACAGATTTTCACTTGGACAATTTGATTTTTTTCTTCATGTATATTAGAAGTAATTAAGCTATAAACACAGACAAAAATACATGGTGAAAACATAAATTACAAGAACCCTAATGTTTTTTCATGTGAATCCACAAGATGTAAGCTTTGTTATACACATCAAGACAATCATTAAGGTTGTAGTTATGTTTTGGCATATGAACCGTTTGGAACTTGTAACAATGTAAACGTACGAAATGGATTCATCATACATACATACATATATATATATATATATGTGTGTGGACGATGTTTTTCTTGCTGTATTGATGAATGTCTCTGACCTAATCCTTTGTCTTCTCTCACTTTATTTGTCTTTTGGGTCCATTATTTCAATCTTTTGGATATTCCCTATAATGACTTACAGTTACAGCCACTAAATCCAAATCGTGAATACTTTTAATTTATAATTTTAAAAAATAAACAATCTTGAATTATTGTGTTTTTCTTAACATTTGCTTTAAAAAAGTGTAGATTTTTGGACAAAGCAGCTATAGTGACAGAACAAGACAACCTCAAACCGGGTCAGGCCCCGAACCCGTGGAGACTCAGTACGGTTCACCGAGTCGAGGAACTCAAATCGGTGATCCGAATGGTTCCCATCGGAGCGGCCGGAATCCTCCTCATCACGGCTTATGCCCAACAGGGCACGTTCTCTCTTCAACAAGCCAAGACCATGGACCGTCACTTAACCGAATCCTTTCAAATACCGGCCGGTTCAATGTCGGTTTTCACCACCGTCTCCATGCTCTTAACCATCGTCTTCTACGACCGGGTTTTCGTCCGGTTCGCTCGGAGATTCACCGGTTTAGACAGAGGGATCACGTTCCTTCATCGCATGGGAATCGGTTTCATCGTCTCGATTCTCGCCACTCTGGTCGCCGGTTTCGTGGAGATTAAGCGTAAACGAGTCGCGATGGCTCATGGGCTCGTCGACAAGGGCCACTCGGTCGTACCGGTTTCGGTTTTCTGGTTAATTCCTCAGTACGGACTCCACGGAATAGCGGAAGCGTTCATGTCGATCGGGCATTTGGAGTTTTTCTACGACCAAGCTCCGGAGAGCATGAGGAGCACTGCCATGGCGATGTTCTGGATGGCGATTTCGATCGGAAATTACGTCAGTACCCTTCTGGTTACGCTGGTTCACCGGTTTAGTGCCGGACCGAATGGGCAGAATTGGTTACCGGATAATAACTTGAACCGGGGGAAATTGGAGTACTTTTACTGGTTAATCACCGGTTTGCAAGTGGTGAATCTCCTGTATTACGTCTGGTGTGCGAAGATTTACACGTTTAAACCGGTTCAGGTGCACGATAGCAAGGAGGAAGGTGATGCGCCGGTCAGTAAAGAAATGGAGTTATCCAACAAGGTTTTAATGATGCCATGAATGAAAGTTATATATTGAATCAAGGGGCTCACGTCAGAAGACCCCCCCCCCCCCCCC